CTCTGCTGTCACATAGAGTAGCTTTGACACCAGCCTTTTACTCACAATAATCTTTTTCAAATGTCAATAACGGATGAGAATAAAGATAACTACAGAATGTCATAGTCCCTATGCCATGACAGCACCTCAAACTTGAATAACACTTCTATGAAAAGCATTATTTGCATATAAAACAGTATAAAGAATACATTAATGGCACAATTGTGAAATGTATACAAAAGATTATTATCAGAATTTATGCAAAGATGATGCTAAATAATTCAAACAATAGGAAACTCTATTGTCTAGTGCATAAAGAACATCAAATGTGGAGAATAGAAACAAATTAGACAGAACATTAAAATGAACAATAAAACAAACATTGCATAGTAATTATAATCTGGATTTCTGTTTAATCAGATCTGAGTTTGAACTGTCAAAGGAATTTAAAACTGAAAATATCAAGGCTTATATAACCCCAAATGACTCTCTAGTTTATTTTTGGTAAGTCACAGGCTGACAACAGTAAATAAGAGTATTAGGTAACTTGAGAACTACAATATGGAAATACATGCTTGATAATGTTTTGAATTAAAAGCACTGGAATATTCACTAATGACTTAAAGTACAGTAAAGTACAGTACAATATTAGCGAGAGAGAGAGAGAGAGACAGATAGTTGTGTATCTATAATATGATATTTTCTTCAATACTATATTTACTCTATTACCTATTGTACAAAACCTAATAGGTACATCTTTGTACCTTATTTACCCATAAATAGTACATATTAGTACCTTAAAGGTACATATAAGTAGTTTAAAAGTCAATATTAGCACCTAAAGTGTACATATTAGTAACATTCGAAAGGACACTGCTTCAGTGACAGTTTGATCTTATAATCTTAATGTATAAAGCATACCCAGATGATTTATCCTACAATTCTATTTTAGGGTCAATCAAACTACACTTGCCTCATGAATTTAATGTAGGTTCAAAACAAGCTTGACCTTATAAATACAGGTCTTACGAATAGCAAACAAACATACTGTTCATGAAAATGGGAAAAGTTCTCATGTGGTAAATTCTTAACACATATTCAACAATCTTGAGCCAAGTAATAATGATTAGCCTATGTGCAAATGAAATATGAATGAGGAGTCTAATGGTCTTTGACTCCATGCTAGATAATGGCCAGAGGGTTTTTTTTGTTTGTTTAAAGGCACGGCTTTGCACAGTATGACCACACACAGTATTTTGGTCATCTGATTATCATGCAATCAATAACAGAAGCAAAACAACCACTAACCATTACAATGAGTCTGTTTCAGTTTCTATCTGCTTCGTTTAAATGTAAATACTATTTATTTGTTGTTTTTTTGTACAAATTAACACATACATTTACCAAGAAAGTTGTAGCTATTTACAGTGTTGTCATTAGCCTATAGAATTGCCATTTTCGCTTCATATTTTCTACAGCGACATCAGATATTTATTAATAAATCAATGGATAAACATTTGCAACGTCATAAAAGCATTTGTGTTCAACATACTCTACAAAGGAGATCGATAATTCAATGAGTAAGAAACCCATAATTCCAGAGTACAGCAGAATTACTCGATGAGGGTGTGGTCAGGAGCACTGGAACAGGTAACGTTATAGACATAATAACATAATTAAAAATATATAAACAAACTCAAACGTTACTGCTAGCAGACTTGTAATGTTATTTGCTTTCTCTCTGTTCTTTCCGACTTTTTAAACCGCACTTGTGTACATTTGCTTGACTTAGCCTCATAGACTTACCACACCGATTTATTATTACGTATAATAAAAACAAATCAAACTCACCCAGAAAATTGTTGCATATACGATTAACGAGAACTTGAGAAAGAGGTACGAGCACCTGTCGCAATATCGGACTTCATTTGACATGTTAAAAACGTATAAATAACACGAAATACGGTCGCGTAGTAGACACTTCCTGGTTTGTTTGTATCTTCTAGACTTCTACCTGAGTGACCAGAGCACGCGCTCCATTATCACACAATTGATTGATGGGTGGTTTGTCCAATGAGAGAGCGGGATTTCACATGGCTTGTATATTGTTTGTATTTCAGGAGTTTATAGAAAGTTCATATTCTTAAAGGACATTATTACTTTTTGATTTTACACTACAGTTAACACGAAAATGTTATATATTATTGTTATATATTCATGTAGGCCTATATTAATGATATTTAAATATATTGAATGTAATAAAACTCATAAAACATTAACATTTTCATTATAGATTTATGCATCTAAATAGGTTTAGACACCACTGATTTAACCTCTTTTCTGACTGCTGACAGTGTCCTTTTTTTTTCTTTTTCTTTTTCTTTTTCTTTTTTACATAGGCCTATATACACATATAGATAACCAAAACATTTTTGCACAAGAATAACCTCAACAGATTAAGCCTGCAAATCTCTGGCAGAAATTTCAGATTTAAAAATAATAATAATAATAATAGTAAAAAAAGGTAAAATGGAGGTAAAATGCTCTCCTTAAAGATGCAGTCCGTAACTTTTGGCGCTCTAGCGGTTAATAAACATAAGTGCGTGCGTCTTGCGGAAGAACATTGTAGCCGTGGTTTGTTTGTATCTTCTAGACTTCTACCTGAGTGACCAGAGCACGCGCTCCATTATCACACAATTGATTGATGGGTGGTTTGTCCAATGAGAGAGCGGGATTTCACATGGCTTGTATATTGTTTGTATTTCAGGAGTTTATAGAAAGTTCATATTCTTAAAGGACATTATTACTTTTTGATTTTACACTACAGTTAACACGAAAATGTTATATATTATTGTTATATATTCATGTAGGCCTATATTAATGATATTTAAATATATTGAATGTAATAAAACTCATAAAACATTAACATTTTCATTATAGATTTATGCATCTAAATAGGTTTAGACACCACTGATTTAACCTCTTTTCTGACTGCTGACAGTGTCCTTTTTTTTTCTTTTTCTTTTTCTTTTTCTTTTTTACATAGGCCTATATACACATATAGATAACCAAAAACAAGAATAACAAGAATAACCTCAACAGATTAAGCCTGCAAATCTCTGGCAGAAATTTCAGATTTAAAAATAATAATAATAATAATAGTAAAAAAAAGGTAAAATGGAGGTAAAATGCTCTCCTTCAAGATGCAGTCCGTAACTTTTGGCGCTCTAGCGGTTAATAAACAGAACTGCGTGCGTCTTGCGGAAGAACATTGTAGCCGGAGCTACTTCTCTCTGTTTATGTCTATGACGAATCACGCAGGTACTGGGCTACTCCGCAGCGGTACCTACCCGAACCAGTCTAAATAGTCCGAATATAAACACTTATTATAGGTGTACCTTAGTGATTCAGGACAAGCCAAAAACACGGTTTGGAAAATGGATTTATGGTGTACTCGTTTATTATATACATTTTGAACACAAAAAAGTTACGGACTGCAGCTTTAAGAACAATGTGGATGAGGATGATTATAAATCAGCCATGCAATGTGTTAATAAAGGATTGCTAATTTAGCAATGTAAAATATTAAATGAGGGGTGAGAGGAGTAACTGCACCAGCCCTCACCCCAGAAAGTACAGAAAGGGGTCTAATTTTTAAAGAAAGTAATAATAGCTTTTGATATAATTATTAATAATATTTAAATGTTTAAGTGTCATTAATGTAACATACTAAATTAACTACTCTGTTTAAATTTTATTTTGATAATTTAGTTGAATAATTGAATAACTGATGACAGACAATGCAGAATCCAAGTAAAAGAGATTCATATGAAAGGTAATCTGTTAATATATTTAATTGTCCATTAAAAAGTAAAGATATGTCATAAATAGCAACACTATGAATACAAATTTAATGATTCCACTCAACTAACCTACAGATGTCTGAAATGTACATCAAATTAATGGTAATATTACATAAAACCCCCACTAATTACACTAAATATTTAATTTCAAAATAATAACGACTTGGGTTCTGTGCCAAGTCTCAACTCAACTCAACTCAAACTTTATTTATAAAGCACGTTCAACACCACGACTGGAACCAAAGTGCTGTACAGAGAAAGATAAGGGGGGAAAATATTAATAAGAAGAAGAATATAAAAACAAATAAAAAATAAAAAATAATAATAGTAAAATAAAATAAAAAAATTAAAATACATAAATAATAATAGATGAAGTCATCATAAGGGTCTAATTTTATCTTTTTACTTCAAAATAAAAACTGTTACTTTTACTACACAAATCCAAAAACATTGATGTGTCCACAACTCCCTCATTATCAACATTTGATATTCAACATAACACGTCACAGATTGCAATTTTCCAAAGACACAAAATAAAAAATAGCGTATAGCCATTAATTAAAAGTGCTGGTAAAAAAATTAAGGTAAGGAGGGGGGGTTGGTTCATCTTACCCTAATTCGCACAATAATGAAAAAGACAGATCTTCAGACATCAACCTGAAATATCATATAGCACTCGAAGTGTCCAAATAAGAGTAATGTCCACTAACTCACTATCCACTTCTTCCACCTGCTGCCCAGACACCTGTCTCACTGCTCTGACAAAATGAACTAATATCACCTCACACAATTGGAGAAATGAGGGGTATCTAAGCAAGGTCTCAGCAGAACAAGTACAGCAGACCTCAAACATGCTCTAAACTGTGACATATTTCCATTAGTGTGCGCTACAGGGGTTTGGCGATTATTAATGACAGCAAGATGTTCACGGTTAACGTCTCAAATGCATAGTACCAATTAAATATTTTGCGCTCTTTTACCGAGCTTTTTAGTAGGAGTGTAGGATGCTGTGCGTCACAATGCGTGCTTGCAAGAGTGTTTCATCCAACGTCATTGCCTTGGACCCCACACACCTCCAACACTTGGCACACATTCCTTCAGTTTTTCAGTGCTATATCATCCCTTCGGGCGCAATAACGCACTTCAGCAGGCGGTTTGGACACGAGGCGCAGTGACCACACTCACAGTTTGGAACATGAACTGCTGCAGCTGTCTAAAATACACAAGTTTACCATGTCGTAGCGACAGCAGAGCGAGTCATTCACTGGAATAAGCATACAGATTTATTTATGTGACTACAGACAAATACAATGGATACCACTTTGGACCCCCTTTCAACATCTCTTCTCTACGACGAGGAAGATGGTAACCAAACCTCCACCAATCTATTCGAGCAGCCGTACTGGCAGGTGGCACTATGGGCGATTGCATACTCTTTAATCGTAATTGTGTCCATCATTGGCAATGTCACTGTTATTTGGATCATTCTGGCACATAAACGCATGAGGACAGTGACCAACTACTTCATTGTAAACCTCGCCTTTTCTGATGCATCTATGGCAACTTTTAACACCGTCTTTAATTTCGTGTATGCTTTGCACAATGACTGGTATTTTGGTTTGGGATACTGTAAATTTCAAAACTTCTTCCCAGTAACAGCAATGTTCTCAAGCATTTATTCAATGGCGGCTATTGCTGTTGACAGGTAAGCAGACAACAAAGCACTTCATTGAAAATCATTGTGGTTATTTATACATTACAATTTATAAATTGCAATTAACAATCTAAAGATTTTCAGTTCTTTTTCAATTCACCATAACATGTTCCCATGGATTAGGATAATTAATCATCATACTATGATAACATGACATTAATCGTGCCATAAATCAGTTACAGATTGTAAATTCCTGTGATAAAACATAGATGAGGTTAGATCTGTTACCCTTCTGTTTTTGCTGGTCATATATGGTTAAGAGCTGATCTAAGATCTAACTGATGAATCAGGTGCACTGACATCCACCTGGCAGACCTTGATGAAGCTGGTTCGAGCTATTTTCCCCAGCAGGGATATAAACCTAATTCGACCAAATTTTAGGGTTTGTCAGTGTACATAGAGGAAAATAGCTCTAAATCCATCAACTCGAAGGCTCAAGAATAAACCTTTTATCTGTGCACCACCACCAATCTTCCATAGACGGTCAAAATTAGTTAATGATATTTAATATTAAAACAAATCTTAGATTAATATTCATTTTGGCCCCTTTTAATGATAAATAGCCTAACTCGTAGTTTTATGAGCAATCGTCATGGTTACTTAAAAGGGTTGAGAAAAGCGCTTAAACGCTCATGCAAACTCAATAGACATGGGGAATTGATTAGGACCCACACTTAAGCTTTCAATGGGTCTAAATAAGAACCTGTGCGCATGCAGTTCGAGCGCGCAACGTCCCCGAACATGTAATTTACCTGCGCGCGTAATATTCCGTTTCCCTGAAAGTCCGTTTAGTGCGCGCAAATAATGCATTTGTGATATTCCTGGATAATCGATTCCAGTTGACCTGGTGACTCATGAGCAAAATGGGTAGGGAGACTTCGCGCTGAGTGTGGATTGTGTTCTGGTAATTTAATATAAATAAGAGTCTGATTTAGTGACCAACAAGTAGATGATAATAATCAAGCATGGGAAATGACGCAAACAATCAATCTTCTGTTTCTGGATGTGCTCCTGTTATACAGTATGCATGCAGAAAATTCCGTCCAAAAAAGCTCTGTAATGCACTGAATGGCAATAGAAGGGAAAGTCAACAAAGTGGTATTGCCAGCCTTTTCCATTTTGTTATTCATATGTCAAATTTATGTTACCCTGTCATTTAAAGGCACAAGTTCACTTTCATTAAGATGTTGTTGGCTGAAATCCACAGATACATGGCTATAATCCACCCTCTGAAGCTCAGGCTCTCCTCCACTACTACTAAAGTTCTGATCGGGGTCATCTGGACCGTGGCTTTTTCACTGGCCTTTCCTCAGTGTTATTACGCCAGCACCAAGTTCTACTTCCCTCGGACTGTTTGTATGGTGGAATGGCCTGACGATTATGGAGGGAAACATCAGCTCTCGTAAGAAAAGTGGACAAAAATTGTATCCTTTTATTCTGTATGATTTACACAAGTAGCTTTGCTCAATTTTTACTGACAAGAAAATCATTTTAAATGAGGTTAAACATTGAGAGTAGCCTAATTTTTCACTTCTCAAAGATTTGAATGCCCATCAAAGGCATAACATAGGAATTTAAAAAAATGACAGTAGAGGATTCTTACCTAAAAATGTGCATTTATGTAGATTTGGCTCATGAAGTGCTGCTTGATCTCATAGGTATCAGATTGCTGTGATTATCCTGATCTACTTGCTCCCTCTGCTGGTGATGTTGGTGACCTACAGCCTGGTGGGACGGAGGCTGTGGGGCAGCGAGATCCCTGGAGAAGCATCAGACCACTACCAGAACCAGATGCAGGCGAAACGCAAGGTAAGTGATGCTAGTATTTACTTGTGTAATTTTGTTATTTATTCCAGTTTCTCTGCATAGTCACCGAACTAACTTAAGCCATGTGCCCACATGCACACTCAGATGACTGTACACACTCGGACAGTTGTCATGTTTCTAAACTCTAAATAGATACATATCACTGGTAGCTACATCTGGGACAAAAAGTGTATTATCATGAGCAAATGTAGTTAAGTTCCATACAATTTTAAAATCAGTGGTAAAACCTTCCCTGGGGACAGAAAGCTTTTCTTCTGGCAGAACAGGAAATTATCTTTTTCATTCCTTTCACATTTTTCTTTCTTGTGTCCTTCACAATAATAAGCCCCTCCAGAGAGATTTTTCATTGGTGGCAGCAGCTATTTATGGTTTTGGATTATAGTTCTTTGTGTTGAAAGAAAAAAAAAAGATTCATGCCATTTTTGTAATTTAATAAAGGTTGTGAAGATGATGATGGTGGTGGTGACAACCTTTGCAATATGTTGGCTTCCCTACCACATCTACTTCATCCTGGGGAGCTTCAACAGAGACATATACAAGCAGCACTACATCCAGCAGGTCTATTTGTCCATCTTCTGGCTGGCCATGAGTTCCACTATGTACAACCCCATAATTTACTGCTGTCTAAACCAAAGGTAAATGCACATTACATCGCAGGAAGGAGAAAACATTAGATATAAACACATTAACATGGCTATTTAGTGCAGCATTTGCATTGATGTCAGTTAGTGATCCCTAAAATTGTATTTATATTCTTCAGGAAGTCCTATTCTTAATGCACAGGAAGTTAAAATCTAGCATCTGCTGTCCTTCTTTAGATTCCGCTCAGGTTTTCGCAAAGCGTTCCAGTGGTGCCCCCTCGTCAAGATTTCTGAGGAGGACAACATGGAGCTGCAGCACATGAGAACCTTCTACATGAGACGCAGTTATCGCACTGATACCACCAGCATGGTGGTCCGTAATCATATCAGTGAACCAGGAGACACCACATCCAAACGAATCAAAGCCTGAATTCTACAACACTTCAGTCAGTGATGAGGGTGAAAAACATCCCTGTTGGCGATTATTAAAATCGAGCACGACCATACTTGCACTTAATACCTCACAACAGAATTAGATTTTCCCTCTTATTGTTCTATATTGTGGATTCAGTGGGCTTTACAGGTGGAGTATTCATCTACTCCTATGGCATAAGCACCAAGCCTTATTTGTTTCTGTGCTGCTGCTTGAAGTACAGTACTAGTCCTAGTATGTGTATAGATCAGTTCATTTTGTATATACTGTATACAATACTGTTCAAAGGTTTGGGGTCAGAAAGATTTTTTTTTAAAGAAATTAATACAGATATTCAGAAAAAATGCATTACATTGATCAAAAATAACAATAAAGGCATTTATAATTATATTTCAAATAATTACTAATCTTTTGAACTTTCTATTCATCAAATAGTCCTGAAAAATGTATCAGTTTCCACAAAAATATTAAGCCGCACAATTGTTTTTAACATTGATAATAATAAGAAATGTTTCCTGAGCACCGAATCTGTGCATATTAGAATGATTTCTGAAGGATCATGTGACTCTGTAGACTGGAGTTATAGATGCTAAAAATTCAGCTTTACAGTTTTTTTATTGTATTTTTGATCATATAAATGCAGCCTGGCTGAGCACAGGAGACTTTCAAGAACATAAATAAACATATTACTGACCCTAAACCTGAACGACAGTTAACCATGTTAATTCATGCACCACTATTGAGCAATGAATGTTTTAAGCTGTAAATATTGGTTAAATGTCAAGTGGCATCTCTAAACGTAAAAACAGAACTGCAAAATTACCATTAAATTGGTCAGAGCATCTGTACCCAAAGAGTATGGATTGCTTGAGCTATACAGTCAGGTGCAAGCAGTATGATGACTGTTGGGTTGATTTGACAGCGTTGGAAAAAGAGAGACAAAATTAGGTGGGAAATATGTGTTATTTATAGTGGTCGAAGATATCATGTATATAAGCTAAAATATAAACAAAACCAAACAGTTGTAATTGTACTGTAAATAGTCAAGCAAGCTTACATTTCAGTGGATATATTATATTTAATATACATCTGCATGTACTTCCATACGCTTGACTGATTAAAGAGAATTTAGTATGTTTGCCACAGTTTTACCCGAGATATTTCATTTCAAAGTTAATATGTATTTTTTTCTTTCAAGTACAACATCCAAGAAATTCTACAATGTAATAATTAAGCTGTATGTTTTCTATATACAACTATTTTGTTTGTTATGCTGTCACATATAATGGCAGTGGGTAATGCACAATTAATATTTTTATTGATTTTGTTGGTAGAAATCTCATTTGTTTGTTTGTTTTTCTTTTGTATGAGTGCCTAGGATGTTTAATTGTATGGATGTATGAAATCTGAGTAAAGGATATTGTACAGTTACTGCATTACTAGTGCATTACTAGAGTTTTGTCAAATACAAAAATGTAAAATAGAACAGAGGGATTGAGATGTACCCAAATATGACAACCCAGGTATATAAAGCTAACAACAACAACAACAAAAAAAAACAGTAAGTACCCAGTAGCCACAAAAATAAGATAAATAATCTGACTCTACTACACCTTGAAGCTTCCGATCAATCAAGGCTCACATTTGGCTCCCTTAAGATAAAGTTTAAATCTTTATTTATTTGTGATTTTTGTGATATCAGTAGCCCATTTAATGTCTAAGTGTGTAAATAAAAATACTGCAAGACAGTTTTAAAAATTAATAATAAAATAACCAGCATTTTCACTATAACAATAAGAAATGTGATTGGAGGATAATTTTAAAATTGAGCCATATTGTTCAGGCATGCTTTTTTTGCATTCACCTGGCAAATCAACTGTCAATACATTCATTCAAGATAGATATTATAGGAATTTCTTTTATTGCACAAACAATCATAGGATCTAAATACTGAATGAAAAAACGCTACGGTGTTTGGGCAACCGCGAAGGACACCACAGAACACAAATTGAGTTAATCAAAATATTTTTATGGATTTCCCCTATATAGGTTTTTCCAGGAACATCTATTTATATAGTGCAACTATGAAATAGTACAAAATCAGTGGATGCTAGACCTCAGTTACCAAATAAGGCATGCATTCATCAGATCTCTGAGCCACTACACAGATTTACTCACATCAACTACACAGGATCACCCACAAATAACCAGCCAGGGCACACAGAAGGACATTTACTGGGAATCAGTACCGATAACCCGCAGATCTGCATACACACACAGCAAAAAGCTGACAAAAGCAATACGCATGATACAATCCGCTAAATTCTTCGTGAATGAGAGGGTAAGACTATTTCTGAGAAAGTGGAAATGCAAAGGCAATAGGTTTCCTGTCCTTGTTCATTTGTACGGCGACCAGTATAAGGGGCTTGAATTATCAGGAAGGCAGCTGTGACTGCGAGACTGAACTTGCCCGTCTTCCTCACTTCGACCGTGACCAATGAGGAGGCTGTTATGGTTAGCGAAATGTTCCTCAAATGTTTTGCAATATTCACACCACAAACTGCCACACAGACAACTGACAATACGCAGAGGTTTGGAATTAGCTTGGCATAATCGCAACAAAACACCTTCTTCCCCCAGGTATCCATTTCCTGTCACGTCTACCATCAAATATAAAAATAAAATAAATAATATCTTCATATACTTGGTCAAATATCTTAACTTTAATGTTTGTAATGTGTTTACATTTCTTCCCTTTTTCCAATATACATCCATAAATACTTTAACAACAGTTTAACATCTTTATATAGTTTGGGTGGACACAGATGGACCAACCCCTAATAACACACAAAGACATACACAGAGAAAGGCTGACAGGAACATGTAGGAGTGAGATACAAAGCAAAGGGGTCAAATCACAGCTCTGGGCATGAGCAGAAGGATGTGCCGGATCGTGGTGGATGACAGCCGAGTCACAGCTGCGAGTGGAAATGTATACGCTCTGCGAGAGAGCTAGAGAAGGAGCTGAGAGCTTGTTCGATGCAGGGTTCAGCTCTTTTGTTCTTACTGGCGGAGGCGGCACCCAACGGCGGTGATCAAGGCGGCACCTTTCCCGCTTCCGTCTTCTGAGAGCAGGAAGTTGACGTTGCATTTGGGGGCTAGCTCCTTCACAGTCTGATGCATTATCCGTGAGAAACTGAAAAGAGAGCCATGAGTTAGGTACCACATTTACGCCCATCACTTGGAAATATGTACTGAAGCTATAAATACAATCATAAATACATTAATTTTGCATGCACTTACTGTGGATGGAGCTTATACAGAGTGCCATCCACCCCAACGGTGATATCCAGATGGTCCAGACCACGGTTTTCTCGGATTTTGTCTACAACAGCGGCCATTCCTGCTCCACAGATCTGGGCAGCCCGGCGGGAAACAGCTCCACACACTTCCTTGACGATAATACTGTCGTCACACGTGCTGTCCAGGCCCAGGTGCTGCAGAATGGACCTGACCTGCAGTAGCGCCAAACGGTCACTAGAGGGAAGAAACAACCATTAAGCAATTTTAAATATTTAGGCATTTCAGTCTGTCTGGTTTTTGTGATGAAATATGGCAATGTAATTTGAGTAGTACCTCTCGATTTGGGAAAGGAACTTGGTTTCAAAGATACCCCTGGTCTTCAGGGTCTCAGAGATCTGTCCTCTGAAGAGGAAGCCACGCTTTGTCAAGTCAGTCAGGATGTTCCGTACAATCTCACCCAGGTACATCCCACTGCACATCTTCTCATACCTAAAAGTGAAAAAACAAACTTTCAATTTTTAGATCTCAAATATGCCAAAACATTATAAAAAAATATGAAATACTGCACACCATCATTCAACAGTTATGGATTGATAGGATTTTTGTAATGATTTTAAAAGAAGTCTCTTATGCACACCATAATGCTACATTTACATTCTTAAATTATGGTACAGACAGTAGGTTACTCATCTGACCAGTTCTTCCAGACTTGCTTTCTTACGTTAAAACATTTGCATCAATTTATTTTTACATTTTTCTTTTCTTCACACTTGACTGGGTAAAACGGCTCACTTTTGTTTGCCGGCATTGAGGGAGAGATCATCCACAGCATTATCATACTGAGTCCTGATGTCATCCAGGCAGCCATTATCTCCAAATGCTCCCCACTCCATGTTCACACACATCCTGCCGTCCACGCCATCGACTGTCTCAATGTTTCGTATTTCCTCCATGTAGCAGGCATTACTACCTGTTCCTAAAATCACACATATGAATATCTTAGCATGTTCTCTTAACTCAAATGTGTATTTAAGACTCTTTACAATTTAGAGGTACAATTTTATTATTTGTCACATTTGATATATTGAATAATATTTTATAATACATTGTATTGTATTTACCTGCAATTAGCCCAACCTCACATGTGGGTTCCTCATATGCGCAGGTCATCATTGTACCCACTGTGTCATTCACTATGGCTACAACATCCAAATCAAACTCCTGTACATAATATAGCATATACAAAACATTTGTCACACAAGGATCAAGATTTAAAAATGAATTACTTTATAAAATCTTGTATCATCTTGTCACATTTCTGACAGTATGCCATAACTCACCTCTCTCCTCTTGATAGCCTCTCTCAGGAGGCCGACAACATCTTCTCCTTCACAGTCTGTGGCTTTAAAGCCCTTTGTCCAAGTTACCAGCATTCCCTGTATTCATCAAAGCATGATAAATCATCAGGATTTCATTCAACAGATGAGCAAATGAAGTTGAAAACGCAAACAGGCAGCTCACCGCATCCAGACTAGTTTGTCTGCAGGGGAAGGAAAAGGTAAAGCCCAAAGGCAGGCGGGCATTCTTCATCCCCATATAGTCCAGGAAGTCAGATATGCAGTACACAATGTGATCAAATAGCTGCAGGTGGTATGGAACAGCAATTAAAACCATTTAGTGTTGAAATGTTAGTGTTGAAATTTCCTACTGTAAATATTTCAAAGCTTCATTTTTGATTAGTAATATGCATTGCTAAGGACTTCATTTGGACTACTTTAAAGGCAATTTTCTCAATATTTTGATTTTTTTGCACCATCAGATTCCAGATTTTCAAATAGTTGTTTCACGGCTAAAAAGTATCCTATCC